CCAAAGCTCTGTGACTCATTCTATGTCTGCTGCTGCTTTATTGCATGAAGTGTATTAAAGCCATCAATCATGAAGGGCCCGCCCCCTCCACCCGGGACACTTCCTGTTGGTTTAACTGGAGGTGGTTTCAGGGGGACTGATTTAAGGGGGACTGGCCTCATTGAGTGGATTTGACGGGTAGCTGCACAACAATGTGACACCGAGCCTGAGGGCCACTTAATCAATAAGGTTATCGATCGGTATTAGAAACCGTACTTTCTGTCACGACGCCGGGTGGCCGGAAGCAGGACTCAGACGAAAAACTGCTTTATTACTGTAATCGAAACCCCCAAAATGCCTGGGGGGCAAAATACAGACCAGGACAGAATCAGACTACGGGTACGAACGACATTCAGTGACGCAACAAGGGACAAAAGACACGGAGGGCTTAAATAGACTGCGGAGGTGCAGGTGATTGGACACAGGGGGAAACAATCTGGGACACGGCAGAAAGTAACCAAGGGACACAAAATAAAACAGGAAACAAACCCAAACCGCGACACTTTCCCTTTGAAAATGTTGTTGTCTGCAGGCTAATTTGTAATCATCAACACTGTGAACATCAAGCTGCTTTTTTAAATGTAATTTTTGCTCCTCTCACATGTTTCTCTCTAACAGTCCTGCACCTGTATGGAAACAGTGAAATCCTACATTGCTTTGATGAAATATCTAAGAAAATTGTCAGGAAATGGAACCTGTAAATGCGACTCGTTTCCACGTTGCCAAAACTGGTGACGATGTTGAATGAACGAACATGGACTCCGCATGCTGGACATGTCCACCACCGTCCTCTCTCGCCTGTCACGTGTTGGTCTCAGAATCCATCCTGTCTCCGTTGCTGTGAGGAGCTCAACATGTTAACAGGCCGTCTTCAGTAAACTGTTTATTTAAGGAAATATTTTAAATGGAAGCGTTTGTCATGATGTGTTCGAGGACTGTCGGAAAGAAACAAATGTGAATACTGGCTGTGGATTATTTAAGGACAACAGGCTCAGGGGGAAGCTCGCTGACCATCGATGTGGTCAACAGGACGGAGGGAGGTGCTCTGCATGCGTCTCCTTCTGTGAGGCTTAATTACAGCGTCGTTTAATTGTTTGGCTGATACGGAGGGAGGAGGGGGTGGAGGGGGAGGAGGAGGGAGTGGAAGAAGAAAGGAGGGAGACTTGATTCATGACAGGGAGAAGCAACTTTGAAGGGTGTCGACTGATAAGACTGCAAGGGTAATTAACAGAAAGAGAGAGGGAGGGAGCTGAGCGAGGGAGGGAGAGAAGGGAGAGAAGGGAGGAATGTCATAAAAG